GCCAGGCTGGTACATCTGGCAGAAATGTGCAGCCTGAGGAGCACACGACCATCATGTCAACAAACATCACAATGTCCGAGTCCCAAATAGCCCCCCCTTGTCAAATGGCACCCATATGGCTCTGGTCAAAAGTAGTGCACCATGTAGGGAATAGGGTGCCATTTGGGACATGTCAAGAGACTGTAGAACATACAGCATGTCATACAGTGTGACAATGTGGTACAGCAGTATTGAAGTTGTTTTGATGTTGTTAGCAGAGGCCCATCATTTCCAGTGGCGCTGCACTTACCTTCTCTTTGGAGATGTTGAGCTTGCTCCCGATGACCTCAGCCATGCGTAGCCTGCTCTCTGGTCGGGATAGCATGGCCGTGAAGCAGTCTAGGGCCTAAAAGGGGGGAAAGCCACAAAAGAGTACAGTAAAGAAGAGCGGGGGCTGTCAAACTGTTAAATGTTTCTGAGACTGTTACAGCTACATTGATTTTCCATTCAAAGATAGATTGTGTTATGCCAATGAATCTATCCATAGTCTATCCTAAACTAGCCTTGTTCAACCATCCTGATCAGCGGTAAATTCTGGTTCACGAGGCTAACCCTAAACAGCTATGAAAAGGTGTTAAAGACATCGAGTGCTAGAGCAACTACAGGATTTTCCTTCCAAACAAAGATTGGGTTATAATCTTACCAATCTTTATAGCTCATCAGTTCCACACAGAGTTCTAAGTTACACCGTTCATAATGATCAGTGGTGAATAATGATTTCTGATTTTAGCCGGTTCAAGCCGGAAAGCTTCATTAGCAAAGTAAATATGGCAGGTGGGCGATAACATTGCAATGCCAGCTTGTGCTCGAGGCTCACCTCCAGAAAGACATGTTGAGCAGTGGCAGACGAGGTGCTGTCAAAGTTGCTGTTGATCCTATCACACCATTTCAGCAGGTCTCTGTAAAATATAGAGTAGAGGTTACAAATATGATAATGATAGACAGAGGAGTTGGCTTAAGGACATTCAGAGCTAGGAGCAGGCTAGATACAGAGCTAGGAGCAGGCTAGATACAGATCTAGGAGCAGGCTAGATACAGATCTAGGAGCAGGCTAGATACAGATCTAGGAGCAGGCTAGATACAGATCTAGGAGCAGGCTAGATACAGATCTAGGAGCAGGCTAGATACAGATCTAGGAGCAGGCTAGATACAGATCTAGGAGCAGGCTAGATACAGATCTAGGAGCAGGCTAGATACAGATCTAGGACCAGGCTAAGTTTTTCCATAAATGAATGAATCGGGTGAGAAACAGTTGATCCAATACAGCCAACCTTTCTGACCTAGATAAGAGCTTAGCAGGCCAGGTTGTAAACTCAAATGAAAAAATACATTCAGTATGTAAGTTAATTGCATTGATCCATGCAGCTATCCCATATAGACTATTGAGGAGGCCCACAGAGGCCGTATGGAAAAACGTGCTGCCATATTGATTATACACCCAGGGAAAATCCCTGAGCCCAACACGTGCATAAACCTCACGCACACACAGGTATATATATGAACATATCAAAATGGGTGAACTACGAGTGGTCTCCTACAAATGACGGGGTCAGGTCTGAACTAGTTATCTAATGATAAGGGCTGTCCTGGTGTGACTTCTAGCATTCGTGGATCAAGCTCCATAGAAAGATGGGTCCAATCAATGGGCCATCGAGCGCAGGCAGCAGCACCCAGTGGAAAGCTAATTAAAGTCCTGAGGGCTGGCTGGTCATCTCATCTCCCAATGGGACACAACAGAGCATAATGTAAACCCCACAACCTTCCTCTGCTCTGGGACACGTGGTGGGATGGATGGGGCCGCTGGGTTTAACTCTCTATATGGGGGGGGGGGGGGGGGGGGGGCTATGAGTTTATCACAAGTTCATGAGCTAACAGCGGCATATTGACAATACAGGGAAAAAAGATTGGTTTATAGACACCTTTGGTGGGAATTTGAGGGCTGGCATTGTTAGCTGTGATTGGTTAAATCCATTGCTACAAGAAATTGAAATAAATGTAAGTAGCTACAAAGTATAAAATTAAGCTTAAAGGAAATATTCACCCATTTTGAATGGGGTCATTTCAGGTTTTCATGTGAATCTGAGCTAGCCGTTTATGCAGGCAGAAATACAGCCAGTATATCAAGTTTAGCATTATATGAACGGAAGAAGCTCAGATACACATGAAAACATGAAATGACCATGGATATCGATAGAACGTCGCTCAGAGATGCACCAAAACTATAAAAAAACATTCAAAAATGGGTGAATCTTTCCATTAACCTTCAGCCGTTTTTCGGCTTCAACATGTACCAGTTCTCAAAATCTCAAGAGCTAGAAATGAGAGCATGTTACTGGACATTACCTCAGTGACAGTCCCCTCCCCTCCAGGGACGTGGTCTTGTCTTCCAGCTTGTGATGGGACACCTCTGGGGGCTGCAAGCTGTCTGTGTGGCCCAGTGCCACCAGGTCAGGGTGTCTCTCTCCAGTCAGCTGGCAGTAGATATCCAGGAGGCGCTCCACAACAACCGTCAGGTTAGGGTACCTGTTCACCAGAACCTGCACAGGCAAAGAACAACACCACTGTTAGCTTCAGGAATTTCTTTAGTTTAGTAAGATAAAACGGATACAGCGTACAGAGCATTATGGGTACTGTAGTACATCATGCTACAAAAAATATGCTTGAAACATTGGATACAAGGGGCAAAATATCAACCACAGGAAATTGATCAAGTCCTCAGTCGTCTCACCTTCTTCAGTTCCTCTCGTGTCATATTTCCCATCTGCAGTTTAGTCCAGTACTTGTCCAAGAGAGCTGCGTGGGTGTTCTGTGGTCTGTACCAACCTCCAGCACTGTGGAACATCCTACAAATAAACACAAACATCAGTTAGTTTCTGTGTTTAAAAAGAGGATGACATTCATAGGGTAACATGTGGGCCACATATAATCACATTCTTACCTTCTCGTAGCAAAGAATTGGAAGCCTGGAGCAACTTCAATGCAGTCCTCCCGTCCTGGGATCATCAGCTTTTTATTCTCCATCAAGGGAAGGAGTACAGATATCTGCAAGGCATACAAACTCATAGGATGACATACTATAAAATACCTTGTAGTCTTGAACCCACTACTACAGTAATAACTGTACAGGTCACTTCATGTAATTCCATGTCTGATTCAGGTGTGCAAATACCCACCACATCCAGAGGAGCATGGTCAATGTCCTCCAACAGGATCCAATGTCCTTTAGAGACAGCCTGTGTCAGGCTGCCTGGCTGCCACACAAACTTCCCGGGGATATCAGTACAGCGATACATCCCGAGCAACATCTGCAAAAAGACAGCAAAGAGATTAAACAATTCATATTTGCTACTGTTAAAAAACTTTAGAAAGCTCTCAGAAGTTGAGGTCATACTAGTGTTCTTGGACTTTACATAGACTGATACTGAAAATGATTTCATAGGTTGCCTATATTAAATCACTGCTCTTACCTTGCTGTCAGTTTGATCCCCAAGTTGGACTTTGAGAATCTCTGGTGTTTTGGTATGTCCGGTCACGGCAGCCAAGAACTCCACCAGGGCAGTTTTACCACATCCAATGGGCCCTTCCAGAAGAACAGCCTTCTGGGATGCCACGGCCATGGCCAGTCTCCGCAGGTTGCGACAGGTCGAATCCACTAGCACCAGATCCTTTAGGTTACCCTAGATTTGAAATATATTTCCACGAATCAAATCAACACTACCGATGTTGTTTGAACCATATATCCTATCCACTTTTTCAAATAACAAAACTATAAAGAATATTTGATGGAGATTCCCCATTAAATTAGTTTTTTAGTCTAGGACTAGATTTAATCTGTGTCCAGAAAAATCAGCCCTTCATTTCAACAGGAAGTCTTACCTGTTCTGTCTGTTTGGGGGCGATCCTAGGTAACACCACCCCACATACAGCCACCACAGTCTGGGACAGGTCTTCTGACACCACCTGACCCCGGGTGAATTTGTTCCCCTTCTCCTGGTGCCACATCACAGTGCCCTGATTAGCCAGGACCAGGGCCTTCTCTACCTCGAACTGCTGAGTTTCCTCCAGTGACCTAGATGTTTATAAACCGACACAAGCAAAGGTCATAAGCTGAAAACTTTATTCATGCATATGTAACAGATTGCAATAATAGAAATTAACCTACTTTATCTTCATGTGCTGAATCTCGTCACTCGACAGCACCTTTCTCAAAAATATGGTTTTCTGATTGTCCGTCATGTGGGACACCAGGGCCAGACACTGGGCAGTGTAACTAAATGGGAAAGAATCCAGAAGACCACTATTAGCATCTTCAAGTTGACTTCACAAGAACAAACAGATAGTTGTTAAAGCATCAATCAAAGCATTCAGCCTGTTTCTGTAGTGTGAGGCAGCTTGATGTACAAGTACACCCCTGGACGCTAGCCTGTCACAAGGCCTGAGAGAGAATAGATACTGTGAAAATTGTAGACAAGGTAGATACGCACCCTCGAACCATGATGTCGCTGGTGAGCAGTTGAGAAACACATGCACTCCAGTCCCAGAGGACTCGGAACTTGGCACAGTCACTCTGGAGGAAGCGGAGGGTAGCACCCATTAGGTCTCGCAGTTTCATCCTCCTGGGGCCGTACTGGACAGACGAGGACTCTTCACTGGTGAAGAAGAGCCTCTGGAAAACTGGAGGGGCATCGTTGAAGTACCTTGCAGCAAACCTGATAAAGAAAAGAGGGAAGTGTAACAGCTTGGAAGTAGTGGTTGAAGTGGGCCAGTAGTACTGTGTATTTTCTACTGCTTGAGTACGAGCCCCTCACATAGAATACCAGCTCTAACATACAAACTCTGGTACAGTAAAAACAATTACGTGAGTATTGGCAGCTTAGTCATGCCACTTCAAGCACTTAGAAGAGAATAAAAAAGATAGCTAGTGTTTACGTTCGTCACGTTAGAGATCACAGAGGGTTCACTTACGCCTGTGCATCGGGACTGACGCCGAGGAGTTTGCTGAGCGCCACACACAGGCGCTCGTGGAGATCATGGTTGATCCTGCTGTCTGCTTTGATCCTCTGCACGTTCCTCTCCAGCAGGTCCAGGATCAGCGGCCGGAGGTGGCGGGCGAGCAGCAGCGTATAGTCCTTCTCCAACAGCAGCTGAGCCAAACATGCCAGGATGCTCTGTCTGTCCTGCTGGCTCCATATCTACAGGCAGACAGAAAGACATATCAGGTGAAGGTCAAGATTGACATTGAATTCATTAGGTCTTGGCTATGTCTACACACTCCAATCTCAAGGGACATCCATCAATGTAATGTAAATAGCATCCTGATAAAATACTATTGTAATTAGGTTACATTTATTAAAATGGTGTGTAGGCAAGGTGTGCAATTTCTTGGATAGTAAATAAGACATAATCTATGCATATATAAGATAGTGGAATATGCACATGCACAGATAGGATGCATCACCTATCAACAAGTCTCATAAAGAGACATTACAGACACTATGGTTTTCATAACAAGACAAGGAGAAATGTATCTTACCTGTTTAGTTAAATACTTGCTGAGTTCGTTGTGACTTTTGTCAATATGTCTGGATATGGTACCCAGTGATGACAAGCTCAATTCTAAATTTTCCATCGTACCATTTGTCGTTTAGGAAAGAGAGATCAACAGCGAAATGTACGATAATGGATAAAGACTGTAATAGGTTGTTATATTAGTCGTTGACCAAATCGTGAGGTACATCACTTGTCTGTATAGGTTGTATCACAACACAGCAAGCACGTTCCCGTCACTGTTAAAATCCAGTCCACATGTGAGTAAATCATAAACACTTCCGGGTCGGTCGATTGTCCAAATGTTGTCGCTTAGATGACGCCGTTGGAAGCGACAGGCATACTTACTTGATATAGCTGCTTTTTGCTTTGGAAAAATCTAAACACATCTAACTTGTAACACCTAGCTATCTAAAAAAAAAGACCCCCAAGAGCACAGATAGAACAAGGACCTAGTTATAAATATATTTGCTGGAAGGTTCCAATGAAAGATTATTCACAGTTTAATGACAAAGTTTTCGACGTCAGAAACTGTGGTTACGGATTAGAAAGTGTTTTATCAGAAATAATCTAGCTACATTGGTTTTGGCTTTGTATGAGTCTGGCCTAAGCAATTGGCTGCTTTGATATGATAATTTTATTTTTGAACGCTTGATCATCCCGGAAGAGCCGCTGCGTCTGTCTTGCAGAGACCGCGGGAAAATGTCGTTATTTCCTGCTCCCTGAAGAAGGTTGTTGGCGCGACAGTGATTGTAAACAGATAAAGCATAATAACATGCTAAACAACATTCTTAGAATCGATTTTCATATGGTGAGTAGATGTTTTTAGTAAATTCACATTCCAAGTTTTTTCATACTTTAATGTCTTGAGTTTGTAGATAGGTAGGTTTGTGTGGGTCCCATAGCTAGCTAGCTAACGTTAGCTGGCTTGTTGTTTCAATCAGCTAGCTAAAGTAACGGTAACTATAATAATGTGCCTGTGATGGCTGGGCTGTGCGTTCCATCATATCCTTGGTGCATGTACAAGGAGCCGACATAGTTGATTTAAGTTTGCTCAATGAACTACAAACAAAATTGTGTTGTTGTTAAATAATGACTGGCTAACTAACTAACAAGCGTACTAGCTACTCAAACTAGTTGTTGGTACTAGTTAGTAGCTAGCATCAACCCAGCCCATGTGCTAGCCATCCCAGCCAGAGTAACATGTTTTGTAACGTTATGCTTCTTAGATCCTAGGTAGCTTGCTAGTTAACATTAGAAAACTAACTGAGGATTATAAGCGTTAGCTAGTTGTGTGATCATGCTACAGGCTACTTCCTTTAAAAGCCAGGCATTAGTCTAGAAGGTCCAAATGTTTTACTGATCACTTTTACTATCGACCTCACCAATTTCAAGATATCTGGACTCACTTTCAATTGCAAGTAACGCATGGCTTGTCATACAAATTATGCATTGTTTCTTCCAGCTACTTCCAGGTACATATCTGAGCCATTGATTGAGCATCAGGAGAATGGAGGGGGATTTGATGGATGAAGTGTATGGTGACCTCAGCCAGGACCACCGTAGTGAGTACAATGCTATAGCCTATTTCACTGTCCATAGATGGTGGATGCTGAAATACATGGTACAACTTTCCTGAAGTACACTGAATAAAAATATAAACGGAACATACAACAATTTCATCAATCTGTCAGTTTAAGCTAGAGTATCTGTTTTTGTTGCAGTGAATGCGTCTCAATCCACAGTATCCACCTATATCGCACTTCTGCATCTGCAGTGAAAGGTGACAGAGCTAGAGCGGTGTTTGTCAGACCATGAGACATCCCTATAATTGGTCTTCTCACAAAATTGTCTGTAGCATACGAACGGTTTAGCCTAAAAAACAATTATGACCCCTTTATGGAAAACGAGACTCTCACGAACACGATGGTGTTCTCCGTTTTGCTCTACGACCCCCCCACAAGTATTTTGGGACTCGTCTGAAGTCGGTACAGCCGATCTGCCAACTTCTGTCTGTAGCGTCCAAACAGTTTGGGCTACACACTAATATGACCCCTCTGTGGAAAGTTGAGACTCTCACAAACACGTACATATTTTGCTCTAGGATGCCACAGGCCTCGCAAGACTCGCCTGAAGGTCACCAGGTACCAGTTGAAAAAATTAATGGAAGTGTATATGGAGACTGTTTAGTGCCAAAAATAAGGGGTTATATCTCTCAGATATAGGACACACTTCACAACAAACTTCCTTTAGTTTTTTTTGGGAATATCTGTTCCATGTAGTGAATCTGTTATTCAATGCGGTTGTATGGGCTAATAACATAAAAAAACAAAAACATTTTGGGATACTTCAAGGGCTTAATTTAAAATCAAATATAATTTGTTTTATCCTTGGTAGACAGGGCTTAGACTCTTATAGGTATTTTTATTTTATTTTATTTTTTAAAGTAGGCGTGTGGATCAGAAAACCAGTCAGTATCTGGTGTGACCACCATTTGCCTCAAGCAGCGCGACACATCTCATTCGCATAGAGTTGATCAGGCTGTTGATTGTGGCCTGTGGAATGTTGTCCCACTCCTCTTTAATGGCTGTGCGAAGTTGCTGGATATTGGCGGGAACTGGAACACGCTGTCGTACACGTCGATCCAGAGCATTCCAAACATGCTCAATTTGTGACATGCCTGGTGAGTATGCAGGCCATGGAAGAACTGGGACATTTTCAGATTCCAGGAATTGTGAACAGATCCTTGAGACATGGGGCCGTGCATTATCATGCTGAAACATGAGGTGATGGAGGTGGATGAATGGCATGACAACAAGCCTCAAGATCTTGTCACGGTATCTCGTGCATTCAAATTGCCATCGATAAAATGCAATTGTGTTCATTGTCTGTAGCTTATGCCTGCCCATACAATAACCTCCGCCACCATGGGGCACTCTGTTCACAATGTTGACATCAGCAAACCGCTCGCCCACATGACGCCATACACGCTGTCTGGCATCTGCCCGGTACAGTTGATACTGGGATTAATCCGTGAAGAGCACACTTCTCCAGCATGCCAGTGGCCATCGAAGGTGAGCATTTTCCCACTGAAGACGGTTACGATGCCGAACTGCAGTCAGGCAAGACCCTGGTGAGGACGATGAGCACGCAGATGAGCTTTCCTGAGACTATTTCTGACAGTTTGCAGAAATTCTTTGGTTGTGCAAACCCATAGTTTCATCAGCTGTCCAGGTGCCTGGTCTCAGACCATCCCGCAGGTGAAGAAGCCAGATGTAGAGGTCCTGGGCTGGCGTGGTTACACGTGGTCTGTGTTTTGTGAGGCCGGTTGGACAAAGACCAAATTCTTTAAAACGACGTTGCAGGCGGCTTAACATTCAATTCTCTGGCAACAGCTCTGGTGGACGTTCTTGCAGTCAACATGCCAATTGCACGCTCTCTCAAAGCTTGAGACATCTGTGGTGTTGTGTGACAAAACCACATTTTAGTGGCCTTTTATTGCCCCCAGCACAAGGTGCACCTGTGTAATGATCATGCTGTTTAATCAGCTTCTTGATATGACACACCTGTCAGGTGGATGGATTATCTTGGCAAAGGAGAAATGCTCACTAACAAGGATGTAAACAAATGTGTGCACAACATTTGAGAGAGAAGCTTAATGTGCATATGGAACATTTCTGAGATCTTTTATTTCAGCTCATGAAACATGGGACCAACACTTTACATGTTGAGTTTATTTTTGTTCAGTATAGTTACTGCCATGAGTTGATCTGTATTCTTATTGTATAACTGTTCTGTCACAAAGCACTCTTATGGAAAAGTATGAATTCTCCTATTCTCTCGTGTATGGCTCGGCAAGGGTCCTGATTTATGCACTCAAAGAAAATACACAAACCTGTGTTATGTGGATCCCTTATTACATAAGCATATTAGCTGTACTGTATCCAATAATACAAGCCATTTCTACTGTAATGTTATTCCATGTGATGAAATTACAGAAGTGCAATATGTGGGTAACTTTGCCATACTTCTACCCCACAGATACCACAGCAGCTTTCGAAGAAGATTCTATGGATATTTATTCTGGTTTGGAAAGTCCAAAGATGAATTCAAATGCAGGTAAACATCACTCAAACATACACATTGGTTCTTTACAAGATGGTCTGAGTCAGATATATATTTTTAGAAGTAGAAAAGATATCCATGTATTTTTTTTTTTTTTGGTCATTTAGCAGACGCTCTTATCCAGAGCGACTTACATGAGCAATTATTTGCTGTGTTGTTCTCTCAGAATATGATAACTGATAACATACTTTATATTTGTGCAATCTTATTACAGAAAGGAACTACACACTCCTCTCACCGCAGAATCTGAAATCTATGGATTTATATGAAGAAATCCTAACAGAGGAACAGCAGGATAAAGAGTCTTCCTACAATGAGGTTTGTACCATAATGCTTATCCAATTCATATGTGCATTTTTTTACCCCCTCTGTGGTTTGTATAAAATGGAATGCTGGTACACAGATCCTGTTCCCATTAGAACTGAATAACCATCAGTACCTCTGTCTCATTACAGTTGAGGACAAGATTCAATGCAGCACAAAGCCAAGTTGATGAGTTAATGAGAAGGTTGCAGCAGATGGAAAAACAGGTTTGTAATAGGAAGTCCTAAGTGTCACTCATGTATTAGTAGTACCCCTTGAAATATGAGGAACATACTCAGTACTTGAAATAATTGGATAAAGTACATAACATTGACTTGAATTTAAACATTAGATTTTCCAAATAAAGATGTTCCATGACAATTATGAATGTGATTCTGTCGTGATGAAAAGGCTAAATTGACAAAATGATTATAATAATATGCCATTTAGCAGACGCTTTTATCCAAAGCGACTTAAAGTCATGCGTGCATACATTATTGTGTATGGGTGGTCCCGGGGATCGAACCCACTACCTTGGCGTTACAAGCGCCGTGCTCTACCAGTTGAGCTACAGAGGACCACATTATATTGATTATCATGTTTATCTTATTGACATTTGTAGTCATTTAGCAGACGCTCTTATCCAGAGCTAATTACAGTTAGTGTAAGTTAGTGTTACCACTCACGTGCTTGACATGCGTTTTCCTTTTGAAGAATACAACGCTGAACACTGAGAACAGCCGTCTGAAGAAGAACATCTGTGCACTCATTAAAACAGCTAAAAGGGAGGTTGTGCGGAAGGACGAGGAGATAAATCGGTTGAGCCAAAGGTAAGTGTCTTGACCCTTCATACTTCATATACACCTGTGAAGTGGTAACACAGGCAAGAATGAAAAATACACATACACACTTTCTATGTACCCTTTAGATGAGGTAAATGTATAATTTCTATGAACTCTCTGTAAATCTAGGCATGTGAGTAATTTTTGATTAAACTTTTAGTTTCAGGCCAGGGAGGGGTCCTGTAGTTCACTATCAATCTCAGATGAACTGCCTGAGAAATCAAATTCCAACCAGACAGAATCCTATGGGGCCGTCTCTACCAAGCGAACCACAAGTTCCAACCAGACTGAATCCTACGGGGCCGTCTCTACCAAGCGAACCACAAGTTCCAACCAGACTGAATCCTACGGGGCCGTCTCCACCAAGCCAACCACCGGGTCCTAGACAGGATTGTGTTCGCCAGCTCCTCCGTAAAGACAGAGATGTAGTCCACCCCCCTCTCCCTCCAACCCCCTCTGACGCAACAGTTTTCCGACCACCTCTTCCTGATGCAACAGTTTTCCGACCACCTCTTCCTGATGCAACAGTTCTCAGACCACCTCTTCCTGTCACTTCAAAGACCGCTAGAGGAGATTCAGAAGCTCCAGTGAAATACACAGATTCTTCTGTTAGTAGTTCCAGCCAGGACTCTGTGAATAGGCACCCTACACGTGAACTTGACCCGTCAGATGAGCCAAAACAAACCAAGCACAGAGAAGGCAGAGGTGAAGATCCCAGGCTGTCCGAATCAAAGGAGCAGCGAAAATATGACTCCAAGTCAAGCAGAAGCAGATACCCTCATCTCTCAGATGTTGAGGTACACAAGAGATCAGAGAGGGCTAAAAACCCAACCTCAGACATTTTGCATTGCACTGCTTCCTCTGACCGCACGTCTAAAGGATTGTCTAAAGATTGTGCAGACTATCAATCAAAAGGTACTAGTCGGCATTATAAGGAGCTCAGGCGTGATAAGGATGATGATGGGCATAGTAGAAGTATTAAAGACATTTCCTTTAACAGAAAGCATGCCTACTCGAATCAAGCCAGTGTCACTGAACGATCCAGTGAATCTTTTAATCGCAAGGGAGGGACAAGTCCTCAAAGGGACCATCGAAGGAAAGAGGAGAGAAGAAGAGAGGATGAGATCAGAAAAGAAAAAAATAGATATGGGGAAAAATCAGGAGAAAGAAAAAGCACTTGTACAGAGAGAAGAAAGGAGCGTGAGCAAAAAAGAACAAAGGAACGTGACCGATGCAGTACGGACGTCAGTAAGGACAAGACAATGGACAACAGTAAAGTCGGGGGGCAAAAGACGGATGAGAAGTCTGAATTGCTTCCATCTGAGGCTAAAGTGGCTGAGAAAAGCTCTGTAGAGAAAAACGGTCCAAACAGAAAGTTAAGTTTCATGGAAACTCTGAATCTTACCTTGTCACCAGTCAAAAAACCAAGACAGCCTGCTGAAACCAAGGAACAGGAGGGCGCGCCACCTGAGGAAGTTCCTGAAGACCAGTCAGTGGAAGACGGTGGACAGCCTGATCTAGGGGAATTAATCGTCTTAGACGAAATCAACAGTAGTGTGGGAGAGACCGATGAGGTCTTTGAGGACCCAATTGTACAGCCGTCTTCAGAAATCCCAACGCCTTCAGAACCTGAAAGTATAAACCGTAGACATGCAGACGAAGAGCCTTGTCAAGATGCTGACAAAGGTCTGGCTGAAGCCACAGGGGCCAAAAAGCAACCGAAGTGCCAGTTAGAAGTGGAAGACACTACTGTCCAACATGTCTCAGAAGGTAGGCCTGAGCTGCTGGAGGCCACAGTGGATCAGAGGACTGAACCCACCACAGCAGAACCTCTCAGGAAGGATTGTGTTTCAGCTCCAGACTGTGACGTTGTTTCGAGAACTCCACTGAAAAGCAGACCTGAAGAATGTGCCTCTGCAAATAAAATGGGGGAGTCTGAGGATTTGACTGCTGCTGCTGTCGCTGTTACTGGGAATTGTGGAAACAATTCAAATACTGACACTGGACTATCTTCTAATAGATTTACCCCTGAACATTCAACTGAAAGTGTAGTTCTTATTACTGACAATTTTGTGTGTAAGTCAAACAGTGAAACTCTCAGTGCTTTGGTCTGTAAAAGTCAAGCTGTTGAAACTGTGACACAAGTTCCACCTGCTGCTGTCTTTGTGGGAAATCCTGCTGTTGAAGGTGGTCCAGGAAAAGAACAATCGGAATCTCTGCAATTGCCATTGCCTGCGTCTGTTATTTCAAATTCTAGTCTAGATGTGACAGAGGAGGTGCAAGATATTTCCAAGGATGCTGTTTCCAGTACGATTAGCATAGAGGTAATTCCAGAGATCTGCATTACATCTGAGGTCGTTACTGATGTCACAGAGATACCTCTGGAGTGTGAGAAGGAAAACTGTTGTGGAACAAAGTTCACCGTTGAGCAGCATTGGAGTGTCTAAGGTGAGCAGCACAACAGGAGAGGTTGCACCATCTGCACAGCACAACAGTGGTTTGGCACAGACACCAAAGAAGTCCCTAAATTCTGAGCCAAGTTACACCGAGAATGAAGACGCGAATGTTGAGCCCTCTAGCTCCATTCCATTGGCCCATGATGAGGACTCGATGATGCTTACACTGAGCAGCCTAAGACGTATTCCAGATGCCATCAGCCCACTCACAAGCCCAGTCCGCCCAATGAGGAAAAGCCAGCAGCCGCCATGTCACAGCAAACCTGCTTACGTCAAGAGTCTTCGCAAAGGTAAGCATCACTAAAATGACAATTCTGCCACTTTTCAACCACGTATTCATTACAGCACCATACCAGTGTCTACATCTTCATCTTTCACATGTAGACAATGGTATTGTCCTGGAGATAATACAATTAGGTTGAAAAGTGGTGGAGTGGCTCTTTTTAAGATATGTCACTATGGGTATGGTTGAGATTTAACAATTTTCTGAAAATGTTTAATTATTGTCAATGTTAAGAAGATGCAACAATAGCTTATGTTGGTAATCATCTGCTTAAATCCATGACACTGAATGTACTTTGTCAACATAGGCCTGCAGGTTATGCCTTTACTTTGCTAATGAAACCAAAATATTGTATTTGACAGAGTTTACCCATGCTGCTGGGGATCCCAATTCAAAGAAGTTGGATGTGAATATGGGGAACAAGAATCCTGGCTGCTCCATTGCAAGTGCTGCACAACAAGATGTGGATCGGACTTCTGTCCGTTCTTCCAGCCCTGAGGATGAATTGGAAGAGGGTGAAATTCTTAGTGAAGGGGAAGAAACTCCAGTCACGCCAAGTTCTCCAGCCAAGACGGTTAGCCCCACAAGCACTGTTAAAAGTCAACCAAGGCTCAAGTCATCCACTAGACTTTCCAAGAGGCCGCCTGAAGAGAGAGGTGTAGTTTCACAGGGGAATTCTAAACTCCTAAGTAAAACCTTGATTTCACCAGTTGGAAGCCCCATGTCAAAAGCCCGCTATAAAACTGTTCAACCTCCGCTACCCAAAGAAGCCTTGTGTACTGTGGAGGAGGTTATGGCCATGTTTGCAAAGATTCGCTATGCGTGCAGAAAAAAGTACATGAAGCTTTGTTCAACCTTCGCTAAGGAACGCTTCTGCGGTGTTATGGACATGTCCCTTGACTCTTTCACAGACTTTGTTGATAGTGTTAGCTTTACTAAACTATGCAGCCAAGAAGATTACCTCAAAGTGAAATTGAAGAACAACATAGTGTCTGTTTTGAGTAGGTTATCAAATAATGGTATTGTCAACCGCATCTTTGACCAGAAACCACTTAATATGAAGTCGAAACTGTGGGAATTTGTGAATGTGCAGTTAGACTACTTATTCAAGGAAATTCAGACTGTACTGAGAAATGTTTGCAAATCCTCAAATGGAAACCAGTCTGCAGGAGAAGAAAAAAGGGACACAAGTCTCTCTAACGAGCCAGTGAAGTCCCCCAAGCAGCCAGTGAAGTCCCCCAAGCAGCCAGTGATGGCCCCCAAGCAGCCAGTGATGGCCCCCAAGCAGCCAGTGAAGGCCCCCAAGCAGCCAGTGAAGGCCCCCAAGCAGCCAGTGAAGGCCCCCAAGCAGCCAGTGAAGGCCCCCAAGCAGCCAGTGAAGGCCCCCAAGCAGCCAGTGATGTCCCCCAAGCAGCCAGTGAAGGCCCCCAAGCAGCCAGTGATGTCATCGGTGTCCACAGCCTCTGAACTTAAAAGACCTCAGGGAGCAGTACAACAAACAAATTGTGTTTCCAGAACGTCTGTAACTAAAAGACCGCAAGAGGAATTAACAGACTGTGTTGAACCCAACATAAAAAGAACCAGGGCTCAGACTCTCGCCCCTTGCAAAACCGGTCTTGGAAGAGGCAAAAATATTAAAATGTCCTTTGAAGAAGATGATAAGGAATCAGAGCCTCAAACCTCAGATCATCCTCTCATGAAACCTCCAATGCAAACTCCTTTGCAACACGGGTTAGAGATCCTACCATCAAACAGCTCTTCATCTGTTGAGAAAACTGCTGCCTATGTTCGTTGGCTGTCTCAAAATGGCTCACTCCATGACAAGTCTGACTTCGAAATACTCACAGAACAGCAAGCCTCCAACCTAACATTCAACCTGGTGACAGACTCCCAGATGGGAGAGATCTTCAAGTGTCTCTTACAAGGGTCTGATCTGCTAGAAACTAGTGTCTCAGCTGGGGACAATCATGGCTGGCCTCTTGGTACTCCTCGGAAAGAAGGAGAGCGTTTCCTAGGCGTTACAACCCCAAGCAAAGTTGGTACTCCCTCTAAAGTCATCGCCACATGGTCTTCTATTTCACCTTGCAAGTTTTCCTCTCCAGATTCAAAAGTCAAAATTCCACTAAATCCAGCTTTGTTGGATGAGAGTTGTATGTTAGAGGTGCCCTCCGGCCTACCAGAAAGCAGCATAACACCACAGTCCAGTGTGTTTTCTCAGAGATCCTATTCCATCTTGGCAGAAGATCTGGCTCTCTCCCTCACAATTCCTTCGCCTCTCAAGTCTGACAATCACCTCAGCTTCTTGCACCCAGCCAGCCAGGAGCACATGTCTGCTCCAGATAGTGTAATCAGTGCACACTTCAGTGAGGATGCTCTTATGGATGGGGAAGATGCTACAGAGCAGGACATTCACCTTGCCCTGGACACAGACAACTCCAGCGGTGCGTCAAGCGGTGGTGGCAGGACCAGGGAGGCTTCTGTTAACCCCTTGTTTCACTTCAAGCCTCACTTGCCCATGCAGGCAGTAGTGATGGAGAAGTCAAATGATCATTTCATTGTGAGGATACGGCATGCAAACACCAGCCCAGGCATCGACTCCAACAACTCAGGTGTCAACTTCTCCAACCTAGACAACAACTCCACCAGCCTAGGTGTCAACTCCACCAGCCTAGGTGTCAACTCCACCAGCCTAGTAGTTAATTCTTTAAGCCCAGGCATCAACTCCACCAACCCAGTGGTCAACCCCACAAGCCTAGGAATTAAATCAACAAGCCAAGGAGTCAACACTTCAAGCCCAGGCAGTGTCAACTCTAGCTACCCAGGAAATAACTACACCAACACAGGCATAAACTCCACCTACCCATGTGTCAACTCCACAAGCCCAGAAGTCAACTGCACCAACCCAGGCATCTACCCCACAAGTGTAGACATCAATCCAAGGGCTGTCTCGAGCCCTCAAACACCACCAGGAGAAGAACAACATGGCAAAGACAAAGATTGGCCCCCAGAAAAAACACCTTCTAAAGCCCCTTTTTCAGAGGCCGGTCCTCCTTTCTACCTTTCCACAAGCACCGAAACAGCATCTGCGGTATCTTCACCATGCCTCACCATCATAGAAGACACACCAGAGAGAGACCACAGCAAGGGTAAGACTGGGAAAAAGCGGACAAAGCACCATGTGGAAATGAAAGCAAAGCGGGCTAAAATGGAGGTGATCCCAGAGAAGACGAAGCATAAAAATAAGTCCTCAAAAAGTCCCAAAGGAAAGGGGACTAGAAGCTCCAAGAGGGAGAGAAGTAAAGTCACTACTCCACCCCAATCTACCCCATCACCCAACAGCCTGTCTGCCAATAATATAATCATAAAAAAGGGTGAAGTGGTGGTGACTTGGACAAGGTGAGTTGGTTCTAACATTCATGCCTTCTTTTTGTTATGTACCATCTGTATGTTAGCTGTTCGGGAGTCTTCATGTCAATTGTCATGATTGTCACTAAAACCATAATTTTCTTTTAAAGGGATGAAGACCGAGATATTCTCCTCGCGCTGAAAATGAAAGGTGCCTCTCCAGATACTTTCTCTGCCCTATCGGAGAAGATGAACAAGACACCTGCTCAGGTATGTCTTTACCAATTTACTGTCTTTGGATTTTATTTTTCATAGTAATGGAGTTCTATGTTTTTGATATAAGAGACTAGTAGTTGTTGCTGAGCATTAATGTCAGTTCTGTATATTTGTTGAGTATTTTTATTTATTTTTACTTTTCATTTTTCAATCTTTAGATTACAGAGAGATTTTCCCAGCTGATGAAGCTTTTTCAGAAGAAGAAGATGGCAAGCTGACTTTTCTGAATCAACTTTTTTTTTTCTTTTTTTTTTAATGAAGATTTCATGTACTATGCTTTTTATACTCAGATGTTACAAGGTCAAGGTTAGAATGTCCCATTTGATGAATGAGCAGAAGCAGATCATCTGAATTTGATACCTGTAATTGATGGCCTTGGAACATATGAAGGCAAAGTCAAAACTAGATCTCAAACTGAAATGTTTTTTGTTATTGTTGTTTTTGGGTGGTCAGCAAGGGTCAGAATATCCTTGAGGTAACATCCACACAGGCTTCAAAATACAGTAAATCATCTCCCCACAGCCTAAATGAATACAGTTTGTATAAGCTGTTTTGGTACGTCTACTGATTTAGCAGATTTATATGCACTGGTATTTTTTTTGTTGAGTAAAATCTAATCTACCATATTGATCCTGGGCAATATCCCATCTCAATTTCACAACTCTTCATATGCCCTAGCAAGGTTATACCATATGTGCAGTTAAACACTGCAATCATACATTTACATCTAAGTTAATTAACACATTTTAGCTGTAAATGGTGAATTGTCTATAATACTTTTATGGAGCATAGCCACTTGTGCTGCAAGTACTAAAGTTACCTTTTCTGCTTCAACTTCATAATCTGGGGGTGTTTGGAAATAAAAATTGGGACTATAATATTTCATGTCGTAAGGTCACATAGTACATTTTACTGTACAGTATGTCAAGTATTCTATTTTGGATATAGGACTGACTTCAAGATGGTCAGTGAAATTAATAAATAAGCCACACGTTCCATTTTATGTATGATTCAAGGTGTTATGTTTATAGAAATGAAGAATTTTAAAGGGAACATTTCTTGACTTAGATTTTGGTTGGTTGATTTTGGTTTTTGGATGGTTGTGAATGAGTGACTACCAGGTCAAGAAATATACACTGTGTATATTGTACATATTTTGGTTTTGTAAATAAAGTTTATTTATTTAACATGGTTTTGATTATAAATGGAAATTGAATTCAATGACTACTTATCACCCAAATAAGTACAGCATATTTTAGGCACATTCTCAACTGTCTTCTGACCAAAAGTATAAAAGCTTAATGGTCATAGTTCAGCACACTTATTCTCACTGTTATAGCTGTCATGGGATATTGTTTATTAATAATGAAACCTTCTGGAGGACAGTGTTTCAAGGTAATACATGCTCTACTATAAATATCCAGAAACTGGGCCAAAGTATGGGAATTGAGGTCACTGCCTAAGGATGTACTTGCCTTAGCTCACTGCTATAACCAACTTCATTTGACTTCATGATTGTAAGGACACATTCTCTTTCATGAGAAATCAATGTCATGGAATGGGATCATGTGGTTAGAATCACATTTGGGTGTATTAAAGGGATATTTCACAAAAATAAAAAAAAATACATGTTGGTTTCCTTACCCTGTAAACAGTCTATGGACAAGGTATGACAGCAATCCAGGCTTTGGTTTTGTTTAACTGGCCACTAATATAGCTAACATTGACTTGCAATGGATTTGTACCACAAATGCTAAAAAGTTAGCATTTGCAACAGCCAGGTAAACAAAACCAAAGCATGGATTGCTGTCACACCTTGTCCATAGACTGCTTATAGGTTAAGGAAACCAATATGCCATGTAATTTGGGTGAACTATCCCTTTAATGGTGGCCATTGCAACCACACAGTACCATGCAATGTAAAATAAGTGTTTCATACATTCCATAGGAATGTATTTTTCTGTTTCTAACAACTGAAAATTATTAAATTGTTAACTCATTTTCAGGAGTCTAAACGGGCTACAAAATATAAATGGCAACAATGTGAATGTGTTGTTCTAATTGTGTCATCTGTTATGGTTTTCATTTATTTAATAGAACTTTTGAGGAGGTCTGTTGGTTTGTTGCCAGACTAGTCCAATGCCTCAAGTAGCTCATCATGCAGTGAACTATGAGATGGGGCATGACTCATTGATAATTCTGTCTGGTCCAATAGATTGTTCATTTTGACTTGGCCAGTTAAAAACATTTAGTTAGCAGATTTAGATCATATACAAACATAATACCAACATATAGTAAAAATACAAATGATTTGGAAAGTAAAAATAGCATGCATTTGACCATGTTTTGACGTTCAGAGCCAGGCCATGAGCTGGTTGGCACTATTGGGAACGTTACATGTCCTGCTGCGGTAAAACAAGCCCCGGGCCATTGTCCAGTCGCTTGGTGGATCGATTCTCGCATTCTATGAGTCCTGCTTGCAACAGATTGGTGATACACTCACTATAGCGACGCTCAGATGGGTCGCCTATCTCTTCAATGGGTGGAAACAAAACTTTAATTCTACCAAATATTCAGGTATTTCTGAAGCAAGTGGAACACACAACCAAGTTGAAATGTAAGT